AGCAGAGCAATTTACAATAGCTAAGATCTGGAAACAGCCCGAGTGCCCATCAGTAGCTGAGTGGATAAAAAAGCTCTGGGACATTCACACCATGGAATACTACGCAGCTGTAAAGAAGAAGGATCTCGTACCCTTTGGGACAGTATGGAGGGACCTGGAGAATATTATGCTAAGTGAAATAAGCCAGGCAGAGAAAGACAAACATCACATGGTCTCGCTTATACACGGAATCTAAAGAACTTAATAAACTGATGAACAGAATAGATTCAGTGACACAGAAGCATAGAACAGACTGACGAACCTACTACCTACTTTTGATGAAAGAATGTCATAATTAAACATGATTATTAAAAAAGCTTTGTCATATAACTCATAGAACCAGAGTCTTGTCAACCAAGCAGTATAATATGAAAAACCTTCATTTCCTTTACCAAACCTAATATAATAATAATTTTAAAAACAGATATCAAAGCTGCATAATGTTGTTTAGGTTTTTGAGATGGTTCAACTACTAAGGTTATTACCATTTCTAGACAAATTTATTACATTTAAAGTATTTGAAATAACTGTTTTACTACTTATCTAAGTATAGACTTATTAAAATTATTGTAGTTCTCTAAATAATTCACTATCCACTAAACAGTTTACTGTACTATCAGTATTCAAATTGTTTTAGTCTTCTTTATACAAGACAGTGCTCCTGAAAAGTGTGTAAACATATTGAAAACGAGATTAGATGTATCCTATGGATTTTATATATCCTATGAATTCTTGTATGAAGAATACATTCTTAGTCATACAAATGACCGCATCCCCAAAGTCTCTTTGAAGTTCAGATTCCCCTAATCCTATTTCAGTGAAAGCAAAATATAAAAACCTGTAGGCATTAAACACTCTGAGAGCCCGTTTAACAGACTAAGGATAGATGCAAGCCAGAGCAAGTTTGTAAAAAGACCCTCGCTGTCTCTGGGTAACTTCATATACTGCATACACGGACCACATGCGTTGATGTCGACCCGCATCAGTACTTGTAATTTCCTGTGAGTGTACTTTAAATAATTTGCAGGTTTTCAAAAACAGACGTGATTTTTTTCTTCTAAAGTTAACAATATCAGTCTCATTACAGTCATATAAAATAATCCAAACTTTCTAAAGTGACAGAAAAAGGGGCAGAAAAGGAGATTACTAGCTAAAGCTACCAATTAATATCTGACTGGTCCTTTGACTCTCCTAATTTTCCTCTTGCATGCAATTCAGAAAAAAGACAGACTTGCTAGATGTCATGCACTACGCCCTGGCAGAATCTTTATCCATCGTAGGGCAACGGTAGCTGCTCTAAACTCAGGATGCCAATCATGATGGCAGTGCTCCCCTATTATCTCTCTGGGTGTCTTGGCATTTCTTATCTTCTGCCACAGACACGGTCCCCGTGGGCCAGCAAGCTGGTCTATCTTTATGCATCATGAGACCACTGTTCACTGAAAAAGAAGAGACAGAAAGAGACTTTACCCGCAGAAAGGAGAGGTCCCGGTTGTGCTCGATGCTGGTTATCTCCAGGTTGCCCATGACCACCTCACAGTTCTCATAGTACTTGCGCAGGGCTCGATACTGCTGCTCCAGGTCGGAGAGAGAGCTCAGCTTATTCTCTGTTCCTGCGCACACTGCGAGACAAGAAGACACACGGGGAGTCACATAACCTTTATACGACGCGGACAATAACACCTCCCTCAGCTCTGTGTTCCACAGCGCTACTACAATGCCCTGAATTAAAACATCGCAAAGGCCATTAAGACCTGTAGCCCACACTGATATCTTCGCTTTTATTTTTTCCAGCTTTATTGAGACATAGCATCGTGTAAGTTTAAGGTGTACAACATGCTGGTTGGATATACTTATGTTGCAAAATGATTATCAATAGCAAGCTGACACCTTCATCATCTCACATAATTACGATTTCTTTTTTGTGGTGAGAACTTTTAAGATTTACTCTTAGCAACTTTCAAGTAGATCACACAATATAGTTAACTCTAATCACCATGCTATACACTAGATCCCCAGAACTTACTCATAACTGGAAGTTGGTACTCTGACATGCCCCCCATTTCCCCTAACCTGTAACCCCTGGAACTCACCATTCTTTTATGAGTTCCCCTCATGCTTTTATGAGCCCCCTTTTTTAAGATTCACATATAAGTAATATTGCACATTTATATTCATAAGTTGCATGTGCGAACAACAGTGAGTGAGAAGACATAGGTTCCACAGAAAGGCATAGCAAGGAGATAAATTTAAAAGAATCACATTCCTATAAGCAGACCAAGCAGATGAATAATTTAATCTCATTTGAACAAGATTTTCTTTTGTACTTATAATTCACTCTATTTTCTAACAGGGTAAATTCTATATTTGCAAATAAGTGAAAATCAAAAGGCAATAAAGTAATGATTTTTTAAAAAATATTTCTCTATTGCAAACTTGCCCTTTTAAAACTTGCCCTTTTAAACCCACAAAATACTATCTTTTAAAATATAAATATTAAACAACTTGGATTGAGATATTTATAAGCATACACTACAAAAAAGATTACATAATAAAATTTAACCTTTTTTGATATAAACAGGAGCATCACTACATATATTCATCAATGTTCTGCAGTACAATAGGCTCTTAATAAATGATCTGTTTTCCATCTTTGGGGGCATGGTTCTTAAATCTGTTCACATGTGAACACATGAGTGTACAAACGTGTGTTTTTTGGTTTTGTTTTGATATATTTTCTGTCCTCTGGAAGTCAGAGCTTTAGTTATTATGTCTCATGGCTTATTCACCTGCCTGAACAAAATCTATACCATTGAAGCACCAATTTGAATCTTCAATGGACTGAAAAGCTATATTATGGATCTTATAAAAATAGTATGTAAAGTTTAAAAACTGGATAGTGAATAAATCTTCTTTGAGTAAGTTACATAATATACATTAAATTTTAGGTAAGACATATAGTGTAAACTTTGAAGACACTGGAAACAGAGCTTGGTAAGCGTGTCATACACACATTTGAGTGTCATGTACACTGAAATGACAAAGTAGTCCTGATCCTGATGTGGGGTTCAGTGAAATGGGTTTCAGTACAGGAAGGAGATAAAATTCTAGCTGGGAATATCTTAATAATTAGGGCCACCTTAAGCCTGCTTTTGCCTGGCGACATTAAAAATAACAGAAGTTGGAATCTAAAAGTTTTGAACAATAATGTAAACTTTTAATCATATTATAAGCACATTATAAAAACAAAAACAGAACACAACCTTTTCTTGTCTGGATTTCTAAAGCTCATCAAACTGTGTATTTTCTAGAAATGCTCTTTTAATAGTGGAATTGTGTCCCTCCGAAAGATTTACAGAAGTCCTAACTCCTAGTACTTGCAAATGTGACTTTATTTTGAAATAGGGTCTTCATAGATGTAATCAAGTTAAAATGACAATATTAGGGTGGGCCCTAATCAAATATGAGTGGTGTTGTCCTGAGAAGAGCAAAATATAACGTGATTACACAGGGAGAGAGCCATGTCACCTCAGAAGCAAAGATGGGAGTGATGCAGCTACAATCCGAGAAATGCCAACCACTGATGGTCACTACCAGAAGTGAGGGAAAGGCAAGGAAAGATTCCACCCAGAGTCTCAGAAGGAGCATGACCCTACGATACCTTGATATCGGACTACTAGCCTCTAGAATTGTGAAAGAATAGATTGCTGTTGTTTTAAGCTACCTAGACTGTAGTACTTTGTTTTGACAGCCCTAGAAAATCAATACATAATCTTTAGACTATTTCTCTTTGAAATCTCACATATAAAGAAATGTTCAGTGTCACCTCCTCTGTCCAGAGTCCTATAGCTTATCACCTCCTAGGAATTCTCCCATCTGAATGCCAGTCCCTCATATACCATGCTGGAGTCCATTTGTTGCCTTTGAGATGCACTTTCAGTGGTGATAAGGTCAGATGCAAAGACATCTAGGATCCTCAACATCCATTCTCTTCTTGCTACAGTAACAGACTGCACAGTGTCAGCCAGGCAGGTTGCCACCCCAAATAAAGATGACCTTTCTCTAATCACTTTGGAGGTAAGCTTAGCAAGGGACTAGGTTGTGACATGTTGTATGATCCCTTCCTACAGCTTTCTTTAAACCTTGGTTGGAGTCCGGCTTGGCCTCCTTTCTTCCTCACGCCTTTCTCCAGCCTGTTGGCTGAGATAGAAATGCGGAGGCTTAAACTTGAACCACCACCTTGGACCCTAAGGATGAAGTAAATGCTTTAGAGAGACTGAGAAGTGAGCGAAAAAGAATCAGGGCTTTCAAACAATTGAGGTTTTACATTGTTTATCATTAACATTAGGATAATGGTGAACTTTGTTCCTAGCTGCTAAAATACAATACATAGAAAGGATTAAATTCTAGTTAAATTATATGCTTTTGACCTTAAGTAATTTTAACAATTCTGTCTGGTTGTTTCACTGAATTTATTCAAATCACAATGAAACTACAAAATCATTCCTGATCATCTGAATATTTTACTGGTCCTGTGGAAGTTTTCATTGTCGCTAAAACCAACAAACACTAAAAATAGGAATTTCTATTGATAACTACAATAATATCCAACACGAGAGGAGACTATAAGAAACAATTGATTTATGTACATAAACAATTGATTTATGTATGATCTTTGTCATCGAGATCAAAATCCAGCTTTTTTTCCAATACATTCTNATATAAGAAACAATTGATTTATGTACATGATCTTTGTCATCGAGATCAAAATCCAGCTTTTTTTCCAATACATTCTAGAGACAGTCTAAGAAACACCATAATCCATGATCTTCATTTTATTACTCTCAGCAAATTTATAAACAAAATATTTGTAAACTTGTTAAATGTCTGCTAGAAAAAGCTACTATTATATCAATTCATGAAATATGGATTTCAATTATTTTAAATTCCTTTGAAGACAATCTTATATTTTAATGCAATTACTGATAAGGGTAATTAATCAGTTAACTCGCTGCACCATTTCCAAAATATATACAATGACACATTGCAATTTATGTACAACTGGAGTTCTACAAGTTTCTTTCAATTGGAAATAAAACCCTTACTTTAATATTAGCATATTAAAAATCAGTATGTAAACATCTAAATGAAAAGGTTTCTAAAATACTTAGTGTATTCTTCTCTATAGAATCTTAAACAAATTTTGAGAGAAACATCTATTAATATAACTGTAATGGATTTTTGCATGTTTCTCATCTGCATATATAAAAGGTACACAATAGAAAATTATTAATTTTTATTACAAAATATATTTATATAAGAAACTCACAAAGTCTGTAAACTCTTTGAAGACAGGTGCAATATATTAATCATTATTTTGAATCTGCTGAGCTATAGAGCACAGTGCTTTGCAAGAAATTACCTTTTAATAATATTCATTTAATTGTTATAAAACAGTTATAACTACTATTCAGATAATGACCCTCTATTCAGAACAGTGTCCATTGTTCAATCAATGATCAGCTTTGTTTTGTATATATCATACAAAAAATATTTTTCAACAACAAAATAATTCTCCAATAAACAGAAAATCTGATTAATCAGAATAATCTATTTTCCAAACATTCTGGTCTTTGGAATTTTACTACACACAGTTCCATTTTGGAAACATTTTTGTCTCAGAGAGAATCTCCTGTATATTTGTTTGACTCGAGCTACCTGTAATCAGTTAAATATTCTTTTAAACTTTCATCTTGAAAGACAGACTTGGTTTTAAAAGAACTAATTTGGGTAGATGTGTAAAAATCATTTGTATGTGTCTTCACGATGCCCTCACTGAATGCCTCACAACTTCTATTTGTCAATCGATTTTACAATCAGGCAATGTATACAAGACAATGCTAAAACCATCAAGTTTCATTGATTTCACACAGCTGTTTATCAAACAGAATTGAAAAATCATCCCACCAGCCAAAACAAGTTTAACAAAATTCAGCCTCCTTTGCCAACACTATTATGAAGTCCTTAAAATATAAGCTTACAATGGTTCAAGCTTCAAAATCCACAATTTTCATGTGCTCCTTAGAGTTTTCATTCCAACTGTAACTCCAGAAGTAGAGCTGTATGTGAGGCCTTAACAAAATCTCCAATTATTCTATTTGGTCCAATTTCATTGTAAATGTAGCTATAGTAGCAAACATGGCTTTTAATTCTTCTTGACTTACAATTTACACCCAACAGTGAGTGAACTTAATTCAATAAAAAATAAAAAAATTAAAAATAAGACTATAATTAGGATTTTGAAGCAATATAAAAAAAGGTTGATTAACAAAATTATTCACTTGGTTCATGGGGCAAATACATTAGAAGCAAAATGAAGATACATTAACAATACCCATATTAATACTAAAAATCAGTATTGCTTCTACTCCCATTATGGCTATGGAAACCAGTATTCCATTGGCTTACACAAGAAAGACAAGAAGAGAAAAAAATATATAAATGTAAGTGAAACTTTCACCTAAATTTCAAATTGAATGCTTACATGAACTATGAATTAAGAAATGAATAATTATTTATTTAGCATCTACTGTGAGCTAGTATCATGAACAATATATAGGAT